CCGCCCGGCCTCCCGCGCGGGCTCGGCGTGCACTCCCTGGCCGGGAGCCCGCGTTCGGGCGGGCAGAAGAGCCCAGCGGACGCTGGCCCGAGGCCGCCCCCCGCCGTCTCTGGGTTTTGACTGGAGCCAGAGCAGCCCCCCGGGGTGGGGTGGGGGGAGAGGCGGCTGTCCCCCCCAGCTGCTGGGCGTGGGCAGTGGACAGCCCCGCACAGGACAGAAGCCGCGGGAGCTTCTGGAAGCTGTGTGGGTCCCCACGCTGCAAGGGGGGCCGGAGGCAGAGGTGGGGGAGGGGAGGGGAGCGGGCGGAGCGCAGTCTGAGACAGGGGAGAGGGGGGCGCGGGAGGGGAGGCCCCGACATCACCTGGGGCCCCAGAACCATCTGACAGCTTAATTGAGCAGTGGGGGCCTGCGAGGGCCTCTGGGCTCCAGGAAGGGGGGGGCCCTGCCAGCGAGCGGCCCCCAGGCAGCCAGCAGGCTCGGAGGCCGCCTCTGGTCTGCGCCTCCCGGGGCGCAGTGCCCTGTCCCTGCGTGTCCACTGCGGGCCACTCGCCGCGAGCGGCCGCCAGACCCAGAACGCCCTCACCCTGTGGGGACTGAGCCCGAGGGACGCTGCTCCAGCCCAGCTGCTGCCTGGCGCAGGGGCGTCCGGCTGCGGCCGTGCCCAAATCTCCTCACCCTTTCCAGCAACAGGACCAGCAGAGTGACCGCGTGGCACCAGGAGCCCGGGGCCGCCGGCTGCAGTGGCCAGCGTCCCGGGAGTGCCGTGAGGGGACGTGGGAGCGCGGGCTACGCCCCGACCGGCGTGACGGCGGGGGGTTCGCACCCGCACAGAGGAGCTGCCCGGCAGACGCAGCCGCCGGGTGGACACGTCACCCCGACACCCACTCTGGGGCGCCTTGGCCCTTCGAGAAGGGAGGACGTGGCCGGGAAGCGGCTGCAGGTCGCCCAGCGCCGAGGCGGTGGTCACTGCGTTACAGGTGCGAGGTCCTCAGGGAGATGTGACGTCCACCAAGGGGTTACGTTATTGTTCTTTTAAGGTTTATTTACTCATGTTTTGATGCACACAGAACTGGGTGCAGGCCAGGTGTGGGGTGGGAGGGCTCCCCAGAGGCAGAGTGGGGAGCAGGACAGGCGGATGGACGAAGTCCACTGCTGCGGGGAGCAGCGGGGAGACAGGAGGGGGCTGCCGCACCCTGGGGGTCCCTCCCTGGCCGGGGATGACACTCGGGGCACAGTGGTGGTGGCCTGAGACTCAGCGCGAGGCCGCCAGGATTTTAAACGCCGTCACTGGCTGGAGTTTCCCGCCCTGGGGCCCGGACCACACTCACCTGAGCAGGATGAAAGGGAAACCGAGTCATCCGCTGGTCTTCACATTCCGCTTGCGCGCAGCATGCAGAACCAGAGACGTGGTTCTGGTTTGCACGAACGGCCTCGCTCGTGTGGATTTCTAGAATTTCTAGTCTTGAGTCATTGTGTACGTTCAATGCATTTTTTCAGGCCCCTCCCTCTTCTGCAAAGTCTCTCAGAGTGGACCTGCAGGTCCTCCTGTGCCCCAGAGACACGCAGACCCGCACACACGGCCACGACAGTGGACAGTGGACAGAGAGGCTCCGCCGTGAGCGCTGGGCGAGATGCACGTGTGTTGTAAATGAGAGTGCCCATGGGAACGGCAAACTTTAACACACACTTCTGACGTCAAAAACAGGCGATACAAAGCAGCTTGAACTCCCCTGCACTGCTGGCCAACAGGCATTCTGGAACTCAGTGGGACAGTGTCCGGTAAAGCTAAACGTCCACTTACCATGTGCTTCAGCAAGCCCACTCCAAGGAAACTCCTAGCTGTGTCTTCATCGTGGCCCCCACACGGAGCAAGACAAATGCCACCACCTGGTACACAAAGCGGTAGCTCCAGCTGAGGAATACTACTCAGCCCAGAAAAAGGACGGGCTGCTGCTCAGCACCCAGCAGGGACGAGCCAGAGGCACTGAAAGGCCAGGTCTGACCCCCGACAATTCCACTTTGAGGACATACGGGAATAAAGGCCAACCCCCAAGGTGAAGATGGGGGCCTGGGGGGTCAGCCCGAAGGGGTAGAAGAGGCAGAGTAGAAGCAGCACGAGGGATGTTGGGGAGAGGCAGAGGTGCTTTGCTGGCTTTGATGGTCGAGGTGGTTGTGTGGCTGCGGACATTCGTGGACACGCAGGACCACGCGGTGACATAAGACGATTCTGTCGCGTCTAAACTTCTCCTCAACGGCCCCGGAGAAGCCCTAGGGCAGCGGTCAAGGCGGGCACGAACAGCCACGCGTCCCTCAGTGACCTGCTGCCCATGGGACGTGGGTCCGGGCCTGGGCGTGGGGGCCAGCGCGCTCCCCCCGGAAGGTGCCACTCCGTTTCCTGACGTCCCACGAGAGAGACTCAGGGCACGGGTCAGTCTGGACAAGGCTTTCTGGCCACGTTTCCGGCGGGCACACGCTTCCCTGCCGCGTGTCCCTGCGGGCGCGGGGCATTTCCTGTGCGGAATAAACCCTGTGGCGTCAGGCTGCAGCGCTGGCCCACGTCCTTAATTTTGTTTGCCCAGAATAACAACGACGCGCTCAACTATATATGTAAATAGCTGCGTATCCTCTTCACACCTCAACTCCCACCATGAGGGAAGATGCTGTCGTGTACTTCTGTCCTCTGAGGAAGCTTCTGGCAAAACAGGAGAAGCGCGATGAATAATTAAAACGATGGCGTTTACTGCGGGAGCAAGATGAATCCCGGAAAACTGCGGGCACAGGCTTCAGAGTCGGGGTCCGCGTCCTCAGGCATCCGTCGTGGCCTCGCGGGAGCCGAGGGGCTTCACGGGCGGACGTTGACGAGGTGAAGGCGCCGCGCTGCTCACGGAGAGGCGGGCGCGAGAGCCCAGGGTCCCTTCTGTGTTCTCCCCGGCCGTCGCGGCTCCCCTGCGGGAAGCTGGGGCCTTCGCTCCGCGCCCCGACTCGAGCTAGGGCCAGACCAGGAGGGTTCCGGCCGATGAGTTCGTGGACGGGGACGGCAAGGCTCCGCTCGGAAATGCTCAGGCCTGAGGGCGAGAAGTCCACTTCCTGCATCGTGGACACCGGCGTCTTTTACGCGACCCCTGGGCATCTCTCTCTGGTGCCCTGCCACAGGGAGATCTCCGTTCTCCAGGGGAGAAGCGGTCACCTGTCCACCGCGGCCACCTAGTGTTCCAGGGCAGCCCAGAGCGGACTGGGCGCCTGTCCGTGGGCCTCACCCAGGCTCACAACTCAGCTACACTGCAGGGACACACAGAGGGTCAGTAACGGGTTTATTTACAAAAGGGGACAGGAACAGGGACAACCCAGGGAGAGAGAGCGGGACACAGAGTCACTGGAACACCTTAGGGCTCAGCTGACTGAACACACGGGTCACGCGGCCGGGAGAGCCGGCTCCCGAGCGAGAGAGTGAGAGACGCCATGGCCCCTATGTAGCCCCCCAATGTCCCAGAATTCCTGCTGGCTCCGCCCTCGGGTCCTCGCAGCTCTCTCCCGGGTGCTGCTGGGAGTTGTAGTTTCCAGTCCCTGGAGCAGGGGGCGGAGTCCAGACAGCCGGAGCAGGGGCGGGGCCCACCGGACTCCCCAGAGTTCCTTCAGGACGTCCTTCCCCCTAACAAAATGGCCCCTATTTATCCCCCAATGTCCCAGAATTCCTGCTGGCTCCGCCCCGGGGTCCTCGCAGCTCTCTCCCGGGTGCTGCTGGGAGTTGTAGTTTCCAGTCCCTGGAGCAGGGGGCGAGGTCCAGAAAGCCGGAGCAGGGGCGGGGTCCACAGGACTCCCCAGAGTTCCTTCAGGACGTCCTTCCCCCTAACAAAATGGCCCCTATGTACCTCCCAATGTCCCAGAATTCCTGCTGGCTCCGCCCCGGGGTCCCCGCAGCTCTCTCCCGGGTGCTGCTGGGAGTTGTAGTTTCCAGTCCCTGGAGCAGGGGGCGGAGTCCAGACAGCCGGAGCAGGGGGTGGGGTCCACCAGACTCCCCAGAGTTCCCTCTGGACGTCCTTCCCCCTAACACTGGTAGCTCTGGTCAGTCAGCCGCCGCTGCCTCGTGCCTCGCGAGGGCTGTGCGCTCTGTGCACTCTGGTTTTCAGTCAGGACCGTGAGCAGGCCGCATCTGATGGCCTCTACGGTCACCTGTGATCCGCCACGGCCCGTTTCACACCACCGCCCGGTCTCCCAGCCTGTATTAACTGCAGCGAAGCCGTCGCCTGGGCTCGGTCTCCCCACTGCCCTCCACACCTGTCTGCTTGAAGCCACTTACTCCTCGCCAGAGTTTACCTTGAAAGTCCTTTAGCAAAAATCATCTCAAAAGTGGTCACGGGGGAGGTCCTGCCTACAGGGCAGGCTCACGGGAGCACTGGCCGCCTCCCCGGGCCGGCCCCACCGGCCACTTTGTCCCGGACAACGTGCGCAGACCCCTCGTCCGCTGCGGCTGCTTCGCCGCGGCTCGCAGGTCCCTGCTTGCGGAGTTCCGCCGGGACAGCCGGCGCCTGCGCCCTCCGTCGCGAGCAGGAGCAAGTGGACTTCGCAGGGCTGGGCGGGTCCCTCCAGCCGGATGCCGGTATTCAAGGCACAGGTGTCCGGTCGGCGATGACCCGACCTTCTGGCTCCTTCCAGCGTGTGGCTTCCACGTCCTCTGTGTCCAGCTCACAGAAGGGACAGGAAAGCCTGGCGGAGACGTGTGCGTCTCCTGGACGTCTCCTGAAAAGCGTGCACGGCTTGTGCGCATGTCCCAGCCGCAGAGGTCAGGCGGGGCTGCGCCCAGCTCCGGCCGGCTGAGAGCCTGGGAGGAAGAAGAAGCGCGCCCGCGGGCACGGAGTGGTTGGAGGCTGCTCCCCGAGGCGCGATTTCCTTCCACGACCACAAGGCTTCGAGGCTGCGTCTTGCTAACGAAAGCGTTCACAGAGCCTTCTGCAAGCTGGCCACGGTCCGGCCACGGTTCCGTGGTGTTTTCTTTCACAGCAGCAGCTGGGGCGTTTCCAGTACTATCATTCCTGAGGAAGTACCTGCCCAGGAACACCGCTCACCTGTTCTACTGGCACCTTTCATTTTTAAACCGGGATGATGTTATTTGCAAATGGGAAACATCTGAAGTATTCTGAGGATGCCTAGAAAGAAGAGGTTGACTTTCACACTCCCTTGCGTGTTGGGGATGAAGGAGTGACAATCAGTTTGCAATTAAAACATAATGTGGGGGGGGGGCTCCCTGGGGGTGCAGCGGATCAGGACGCAGCACCACAAGCTGGCGGCAGCCGCCTCAGCGCGAGTTCGATCCCCGCCTGCCCCGGAGGTGACCCCAAGGGGCAGCAGACCTGTCCTGACCTGTCCGCTGCTCCCCTCAGCAGTGGACTTCGTCCATCTGCACAATGGGCTTGACTGGGGAGTTGACTTTCTAGTCAATGCAAAAGCAAGTTCATTATTCGGCTTCTTCACCTTAAGAGTCCTGATAATAGAAGCCCAAAGTGTTGGCCTGGGGTCTTCACAGCAGAAGGGGTGGGGGGGGACGCGCCTTCCCTACGCTGGGTAGGAATTCAGTCACAGATAGTTATTTTAAACAGGGGCGTTTCATTGTTTCCGGAGAGAAAACTCACACAGAATGGAAAAAAAAAAACCAACAAAAAACTGTGTTCTCTTTCATGCAAATTCAGGGAACAAGGATTCAAAGCTAGATAATAGGTAGATAACGTCCCTGCTTTTACTTCTGCCTCTCTGAGAGCATCTAAAGCTTAAGGTCTCTGTTAGACGCAAAATAATGTTTGGTGCATCTGCTGTCCTCCAGCTTTGTTGCTGGACTAAACGGACCAGGCCGTGAAATCAAAGAAGAGCCAAGCTCAAGGTGCGTGGGGAGTAACGCAGTAAAGACTCAACAAAAAGGGATTAAAAATTCAGCCAACGACGCGAGCCGGCAGGAAGGGGTTTGTGACATAGGGTCGGTCCGGGACCTCGGGCGCTCAGCAGGTCTCAGCACCATGAAGCCGGCGGCAGCCGCAGCAGCGCGAGTTCGATCCCCGGCCCCGGAGGGGACCCCCGGGGCGCAGCGGACCCGCTGCTCACCTCAGCGTGAGCTTCGTCCGTCTGCCTGTCCTGCTCCCCGCTCTGTCTCTGGGGAGTCGTCTCACCGCCCTGCACCTCTGGCCTGTACCCCTCTGGCTTATTCTGTGTGCATCAACAAATATATCCTAAAAGAAAACATTATTGTAACTTGTTTAAACTTGCCTGTCATCTATTTTCTTTGGAGGCCAGATTTGCCTCAGCATTACAGGAACTACTCTGACCCAAATATTTTGATAGCGATAGCTTAGAGCGCGTTTAAGTGCGACTCAAACGCGAGCGCTGAATAACATTTACATACACCCACTTGCTACCGGCTTATGGGACTGACATCGTTTTATGGTAACAGTCATCGGAACACTGATTTGTCAGCGATCAGAGTTAGGGCTGATCTCGGTGTATCACCGGAGAAGTCAGGCGCTTTCCCATTTCAAAGGAGTGCGAAGACATAAAACGCGATTTCTCACAGAAAGGTAACTTTGAGCCCACACCAAAATTTATTCTGTGGAAAAGTAAAGTGTCATGGAAAACCTTGGATGAAATCACTGCAACAGTCATTTTGTGTGTAACACAACTCTACAAGAGGAAAAGGCAGCCAGACACCGGGGTGCCGAGAGACATTGGGGTGCAAAAGACGACAGATTCGGTCCATGAAATTGAGTCGGTATCGCCTCGGTCTATAGAAAGGTGTTACACTCTCTCGCTCTCTCTCTCTCTCACATACTCACACACACACACCTGTTTTGAGCCAAAATGCAGGTTCATGTGACGATAACACAACACCGTTGAGCACAGAGACATCAGCTCTGTCCCCAGGACCCGTGAGTGACTCGGAGGAGTCTCTCGTCCGCTCACGCGCTGAAGACCAGAGGAAACGCTCCTGGTGGTGTATTTTCAGGTGGGTTAAGAGCTTTGCTCACAGAGCATGACACGTCATCCCACGATGATAGCCAGTGTTAGAAAAATAAGTAAGAAAGCTCTAAAAACTAGACGTCTGGGGAAGCCTCTTGCCTCAAAAAGTGAAACGGGAAGGAACCGGCCGGAGCGAGAGAGGGGCGCAGAGCGTGAGATTTAGCGACTCAAGTTTTCCCCAAAATTACATTCGCCTGAGAAACACGCCACAGAGCAAGAGGATTCCATGGAGGTCGTTTCAGAAAAGGAGTCGACATTATCGAGACCCTCGAAGCCCGCGGCACGATATTTCATCGAGCCCAATTCAACGCTTGTGCAAAAAAAAAAACAAACTTCCCTGGTCTCCTCCCACAGCCAATATCATTGGAGCATGGTGCAAAATCGGCTCAGATTTACCCAGACGACGGCCCCAAACATAAACGCGCCCGCAGTCCTGCGTGGCTCCGTGCGGCTCCTCCATTTTGGGAAATCGCCCAGCGAAACTACCATGTGGGCGTTGTGACATCAGGGCTTTCGGAAAACAAGACGTTCTTCCGTGGTTTCACGCTGGGCGGGGACAGGGGAGAGCCGCAGCCGAGCCTCTGGAACGTAAATCCGAGCCTTTCACTGTTGGGAGTGACCACGGGCGGAGATTTACGGAGGGACTGGACAAGCAAGTCCTACATCAGGGCTTGCACCCAGGGGTGATAAGGCGGTGATAATCTGGGCTTTGCATCCGGGAAGGGGCTAGAAGGTGGTGACGACCTGGGCCTCACATCGGGGGACACAGCGGTGAGTCCCCCCTCTGGAATCTGAGCTTAGAATGGAGATCAGAGCCCCTTCCCCCCGATAGGGTGGCCAGGAGCTGCGGACCCCACCCGGGGGCTCCCTCTCAGCTGCTGTCGGGGAGCCATAACCTCTGCTTGCTCAGCCTTTCTGCTCCCGCCTTCCTTCCTGGCAGAAGTCGGGACAAAACATTCACATGCTCAGATCTTGTTTCCAAGAAGCCGGATTCTGTGCCGTTGGGCCAGGGCCCAGGTGTCCCCGGCTGGGGGCCTGAGACACGGGGGTCTCTCTCCTCTTGGGGCTGACCTGGTACTTTCGGGGACTCCGGG